TCTTAGTATCAGAAGCTAAATCAAATCAAAACCTACTTNTCTTTCATGTGCCTTGTATGAGAGATTTTGTCATACATGTTCTGTCTCATCTTAGTATCAGAAGCTAAATCAAATCAAAACCTACTTTCACTGGCTACAATGTCGTAGATTGTAATAGCTTTGATATCAAATTGATGCAGACTAAAAAAAGAAAGAATTAGGAATGAGAAGAGAAGAAGAAAAAGATGAGAAAAGAGAGATTTTGAAGAAGAAGCAATATTAGTAATCAATAATAATCAAAATCTAATATAAATAAAACCCTTACATGCATCCCTTTATATAGGAAAACTAAAACTCTAAAATAAATAAATAATGATAAATAAACCCTCAAAAGTTAAAAGAAATTACTTAAAAAGATAAATATTAAAAGTATCTAAATAACTCTCATGATTAATCTAAAATTTACTATTTAATTCTTATACGATCCTCATCATTCTCTCTCGGTTGAGAAAAACTCTCCTCCGGAGAGTCTTCAAAGCAGAAGTACCCTAAAAGAACAGAATAAAAATGACATAATATCTCATCTAGAATGAAAGAACTATCAACTTTTTTCCATCGATCAGGATAAATGCAAGAATTCTCGTCTATATGAACACCTGTTAATAAAATAGGAGACTCTGGAGTACCTCGATTAAGTAGCATGTTCTCCAAATAAAAATTTGGACTAATACTAACGGTCAACGAAAAATTAAACAAATAAGCATTAGGTCCAAACTCGAGAATAACAAAGCAATTCTCATTAGGTTTTAACAAAATGTATTCAATGAGACAAGATATTGATGACAAAGAAGGAACAGTAACGCATTGGTGGTGAAAATAATTAAGTACCAACTGAAGTGAAATCTTGATAATTGGAATAAAGTCAGCTATTTTAGAGGGGAAGACTTGAGATCAAAATTAGATTGACTTAAACTAAGAGACACAAAATAATCACCAAAAAATTTTGAAATAGGTAACTCAATATGCTTGACATCTTTCATAAGTGTGAACTCAACAGACTTTTCAGAAAGTTCTATTACAAATGGTGACTTAACATTTGAATCCGACAAAGGTTCAAACTCACTTTCTTCAAGTATCGACTTTTGTTGGTATGAAGGAGATCAACTCTGATTTGATGAAATCGGACAAGGGGATTGGTAGTCGATATGAGTAACATCTTTTTTTGTATATGAGAGTGTGTCATCCAAATCTACGGTCACCCTGGAATTAGGAAAACATGTAGAAATAACATGGACATCATTTAAATAATTATGATACTCATATATGATGGAATTAAAATTAGAAGGTGTTTTATCAGCAGGCTGTAATTGAGAACTCATCACGCTATAGTTGGATTTCTTATGAAATCTCTCAACCTTTATGCTATGTTTAGTACGTAGGAATGGACTTGGGAATGGAACGAGTGTTACCAAGTAATTCACATTCCATAGTTTGGTTGATGGCAATGAAATCCCACGGGCCAAGTGATTAGCCATGCCCCACCTACACATGGTATTGGTCATTCCCAAAGAAGCGGTAATAAGCCCAAGACCAAAAGCCCGACTCTCCCTTGTTCTTTTCTGCTCCAACCACTCTGCTTTGCACCTATGTCTCTTCCAATCCCTTTTCTCTTCTCTCCTCGCCACTGCATCTCCCCTCACAGAGATCTATGGCGTCCCCCTCCTTTACTCTCTTCGGTGAAGCAATTAATGCACCAAATCCACGACCAAGACCAAGATCAAGACCAGATTAAATTCGACCTTTGCAACAAATCTCAGGTAATTTCTCATTTTTTTTTACTACTGATTTTTATTTTCAAGGTTTTGACGCCACCTACGAAACTAATCTCCTGTACCGATACAAATTACAATACTTTGTTTACTTTTTCTTTATATTGTTCGTTTTTTCACATAGATTGTTGAATATATCTATAAACATATGTAAGTGTTTTCATATATTGTTGCAGTAGTGCCTGTTTGTAATTGGGTTGTGGTGATTTGGGTCTTGCTTTGAAGGTGTTTGAGAAAATGTCTAACAGAAGCATGATTTGCTAGATTTCTATAATTGATGGGTTTTTTTTTTTGATAATAATAGACCCTTTAAGGCTATAAAATTATTCCAGAGTTGAAGTCTTCAAGCTTGAGGCTTTCGTCAACTCTTCTTCATGTGTTTCTATCGTTGGCCTGCAATACAAGTCAGTAAATTGCCAATCAAGTTCCTAGACCAAACAGTTCTATCTTTTCACAATTCAACCGTCGTTATTTTGGCCATCCCCGGGTCCTTTCTTTCCTTCAACCATGTGTCCTCTGACACAGTTTTTGCACTAATTCATCAATTGATTTACACCAGATGTATTCAAACCATCTAAGACACTTTTCACTCATATTTATTCTCTTGGTACTAGTTTTTTTACATCATGTATTGTTAATGTAATTCGATTCTCACTTAATTTATGGACATATAGTTAGGTCTAGTGTACTACTTTGGATGGATATTAGCCTAAGCAGAGAGGGGTGCCTGTTTCGGTAGGCTGTACTGTAGTTGACCAAGACCTTCCCAGTCGATGTCGAATCAATTGGGTCTACCAGTTAACTGCCAACAGTCTGAGACAAAATCCTACAGAATTGGTCCGTGTAGAACTTGTATGTTCTGCCTAAAGCTTAAACAGAAAATTCCTATGTAATTTTGAATATATTTCACACTTTGAGAGAAGGCATTTAATAGACTAATGATTTGGAAAGTCTACAAAAACCAAAATACCTCTGCTCTGGAAATTACTAAAAGTCTAAAACAATATGATCAAAAGGACTTGCGCTTAAGAGGGAATTGCAATAAAATTTCCATAGTCCTATTCACCCCTCTTTGGGACTTTTCACATATAATTTGAGCTACCCAACACCCCAACCTCTCTTAACAGAGAAAAGAAAGAAAAGTTCGCTCTTTTTTGGGAGTTTGTGATAGTTTGTGAATTTATAAAGAATTATAGTTGTTCATTTGAAATGAATAACCAATTTTGAATAGTTTTTTATTTTGATTTCTTTTTGTGAACCTTTTTTTTTTTGAAGGAATTTGTTTTCTAATTTTTTAAAATTTATAGGGGTTTAATTTTTTTCATTGGATTCTCATTTTTTCTAATTATAAATTTTTTTAAACAACTTTTAAAGACAATCGCAATCATAAAAAAAAAATTGTTATTAATTATTTTTAGTCACTATGAATATTTTAATTAAAGTTGATTCCATCTTAATGAAAAAATTGTTTTATTCAAATATAAGAATGGAATGAACATTTCATTCTAGCACTTAATTCTAAACAGCTGTCAAATATTGGAATGGTAATGCGCATTCTATTCCATTCCCAAGTTCATTCAATTTCTAAACTCATTTNCATAAACAGCTGTCAAACATTGGAATGGTAATGCGCATTCTATTCCATTCTCAAGTTCATTCAATTTCTAAACTCATTCCATTCCTATTGAAAAGCATTACTACGTACCAAACGCAACGTTAGAGCATATTGATAGGCTTCAACTAACGTATTAAAAGTGTATTACTTGACCTCCCAACTATTTTTTTTGTCTCAATTTAAGAATAAATTGATTAATTGTTTAAGGTTCTTCAACAATGTCACACAAGTACATGAGATAATCGAACTGGACAAAGTAATCAGAGACACTAGAAAAATATTGTTTAAGATTGAGTCATTGGTTATAAACTTGATTCATGTAGGAAGTATGCAAATACTTCTCTTTCAATTTATATCTCATTTCAACCCAAGTGATAGGTGATTCTCCTAAGGGGTCTTAATTTCTTTGGATTGGTTACCAATACTACTTGTTGGAACCCACCAACATTAATTTAGCAAAACGGACGCAATGAAAATCTGATATATCATGTCAATCAAAATATTCTTCTAAATTAGCCATCCAATTCAAGAATTTATTGGGATTTGGAATACCACAAAATATAGAAGGATTTTTAATTGACTTGACAATAGGTGTTAAATCCTTGTTGACAAACCTAGACTTGCTNTATCCAATTCAAGAATTGATTGGGATTTGAAATACCACAAAATATAGAAGGATTTTTAATTGACTTGACAATAGGTGTTAAATCCTTGTTGACAAACCTAGACTTGCTATGATAAAGACTTCGAGAAGGGACTCTTAAACTAGAGTAAATGTGTGGATTAGAGACATCATACATACTCATGAATGAGTCTTGAAACAATGTAATGACAACAAAACAAGTTCAAGAATGTAATTGACAAATGATTTGAACCCTTTGCGAATTTTTTATTTCTTTAATGAATAAAAATATTATTTTCAAATTTCTATAGGATTATGCAAACCATAAACCAAGCTTTGCTTTTAAGGAATTCTGAAATTTAGAAATTTTTATGGGGATGATTATGCAATTTTTGAAACTTCTGGTGATGTTTCCGTAATTTTAGAACTTCTAATGATATTTCTGTAATTTTTGAAACTTTTGGGAGTGATTTTATAATTCTTTTAGCTGGATGAACAGTACCGCGATGAATATGAATAGTGTTACCGATGAACAATGCCGCGAAGAACAGTGAACAATGCGCACGATGAACAATGTTTTTTTTTTTTGACAAATAGTATTGATGTGCTTTTTGTAATTTGTATGAATCGAAATTGAGCTCTGATATCAAATTGATGTAGATCGTAATAGCTCTGATACCAAATTGATGTAGACTATGAAAGAAAAGAATTAGAGATGAGAAGAGAAGAAAAATGAGATGAGAAAAGAGAGACAATTTGAGGAGAAAACAATATCAGTAATCAATAATAATCAAAGTCTAATCTAAATAAAATTCTTACATGCATCCTTTTATATAGAAAAATTAAAATCTTAAAATAAATAGATAATGACAAATAAACTTTCAAAAGTTAAAAGAAATTACTTAAAAAATAAATATTAAAAGTATACAAATTACTCATGATCAATCTAAAATATCTATCCAATTCCTGTATGATCCTCATCACTCAACCTGTTAGACTCACCTTGCTTAGTCGGAGGTACCGTGGTGGGACTTGGTGGCGGTGCTGGCTGAGCAGCAGATGATTGCAAAGCGAAGGAGAACTCCTCATACCTTATAAAGCAACTTGCTCCCAAAATTCTCCACCCCACCTGTCCTTGCTGTATAGCCATGCCAAGCTGATTCAAACAATCCCCACAAGCTGTTTTGCTTATATGTCTGGCACACTGCACCATCCCATACCGAACTTGATTGCTATTAGGCAGAGGTATGCTATTTGCAGTGTGCAATTTGTCTGTAATCAGACAATCCGAAATCCAAAAACGTTATGAAACTCTTAACTGCCTCTGTTGAGTTAAAATTTTGGGTACTATAATATACGATCGCAGGTAGAGATTGTCCCTGTCCGAAGAAGTCGACATTGGAGTAGTGAATCATGCATAAATCATACCATATAATTGTTGATTTATTTGATGGGCATACCCTGATAATATCTTCCCTGGAGCCAGTGACACAGTTCTGGCAGGTAGAGGCATTTACATCGCCACTGCAGAGGAAGAGACCATAGATGTTATTAAAGGTATCAGTGTAGAAGTCAATGGTGTTGGGATTTAACACGATTTAAATTCACTAACAAACACACACAATCGAAGAACAAATCAAGAATATAAAGCAATAAAAAGCTAGAAAGAAAGAGATACAGATTTTACGTGGTTCGGCAATTTGCCTACGTCCACGAAGCTGCAGGGATTTCACTATTGAGAGAGTTGAATTACAGAGAGCGGCTGTACAATCCACAACTAACCCTAATCACCAAAATAACAGGGTTTATATGTCCTACGCACTGGGCTGTATAACGGGCCCAAAAAAATTTTCTCGGGTCGGGTCATCATCCGGATTACATATACAAACTAGACTCCATAAAAAAAAACCAACAAATGGAGGCTGATCTGGAAGAGAAAGAGTCCAAGAGGGACGTCCGGTCGGCTATGTAACTGCTGTTGGCTGTGTCATTGGAACAGAAGTTGGCCATGAACAGAGACACTCAGCGGTAAGATTAAGATCAAGAGTAATATGAATGATTTGACGTCTTTGAGGAGAACCATTTTTTTGTCTCCTTCAAATGGAATAGATATCTTTGTTCTTTTGCTTCAATTTGAATGTCTGGTCTATGTTTGGAGATTCTCCATATGACCTGCCAATCTGACACAGAATCGATTTGAAATTAGCATATACGAGTTTAAAGCGGTCAAGGCGGTGCTTGGCCAGAAACAGGGAGAATCTGGTCGAAGATGATCAAGAGTACGATGTATGATTTGGGTTCTTTAAGGAGAAGGATTATTTTTTTTCTACCTCAATTGAAAACTTGGGATGACTGGTTGGATTAGATGTGATTATAGATTATTATAATGTAGTAGTACCGTTAACTGTTGCAATCTGTGGACCAAGTAAATGATCTCTAGGTTGCCATACGGCACATGCGAGCAGGGTGGAGTTAGGATTTTTTATTAGAGGGTGCAAACTATTAGAAAAGAAAATTTCACCAATTTATACAAAACAATTCCAAGCATGAAAAAATATTTTAGGATTCAACACTAGATTACTATTAAAACAGTAAAACCAATTTCCATTTAAATTAAAGAAAATATGAACAACAAACCACAAAATAAAGAAAATATGAACAACAAATCAAAAAATAAAGAAAATATGAACAACAAGTCATAAAAAAACTTATGGTATTACATTTCAACTCAATCACATACTAAAGTAGAATACGATGTTATTTCAAATCTCAAAATTTGTCTATATTATATGATGATAAACTAAATTTTTTAAAATTCTCTTCAATGTACAAAACCACATTATCCATAACAAAATCATTATTCATTTTATATTGCGAAAACTAGTTGAAATCATCATTTATTTTGTTGATTTACTCAATCCAAAATCTAAAACATTGCTTTTTTTTGGGGGAGAGGTAATGGGCCACTAACTTGCCAAAAATTTAAAATAAGTTAGGACTGTTATAAACATTTTTAAAAATCAAGGGTAGCAAATGTATTAAAATAACTAATCTATCAACTCTTAATAATACATAAATAAAAAGATTGAAAAACTCCGGAGGGGCAAGTGTCCACCCTCCTCCATATGTGGCTCCGCCCTTGCATGGGAGGGTGCCATATGGCACGTTGAAGTTTGCAACAAATTGTAATTTGACCCCCTTTACTATATACTTGTCTTATATGACTCTCCTCAACTATAACATTTAAAAAACCAGCCCTCGGCCAATTTTGGATTCAAACTCTTAAAATTTGACTTGTTTATATATAAAATAATCGAACTATTTGACTTCGTCTCGTTTTGAGCTTGACTCGAGTCTCTTGTTTAAAAAACAAGCCGAGCTTGAATATTATTGTAGGTAACGAGCTCACCCAGCTAAGGCTTAAACTCTCTTATTTGGCTTGTTTATCACCCCAACCCTCAATTAACACCTAGGGTCATTGTTAAAGGGATCAAAGTATAATTTTTTTGTAATTGCTTAGACATACGACAAACTATCGACCGGTGGTTGTCTGGTTCTACAATGTCAAAACTATTGTGTCATTTTAAACTTGAAAACTTGATGTCTAAAGGGCGGAAATTCCAAAGATAATAAGCGCAGATTCTAACGTGTATATTTCGAGGTTGTCACATAAAGCAAATCAATCGATTTAGATCAAAATATTTTTCCATGAATACTAAGTTATATATTTGATACTTTAAATAAATGGATTTTGTTCTAGTCTGAGAATATTAGATTAATTTCATCATAAATATTTGATTAATTCAACATATTAAACTCTGAATCGTTACGATCCAAATAACCCGAAAAACTTATTTACATACACTAGGGGATTTTTTAATTTTTTTTTCTGTATTTTGGGTCTGAGAGTTAGAAGTTATGGCTGGAAAGTGTAAAAATGAATCTACTGAGTTAGATCATAGAACTGTTCAACTATGTTTTGCCCTGAAAGTTTAATGCACCACAGTAAAATCAAATAAATTCCGGCAACTGGAACATACCTTTCCGGCAGCCCAATGCGGCCCGATAACCATCCCCGATGAACCCTTCCAAGCATTGGCAACGATATTCTGGCCGGCCATCAATTGGTGACACATTTGTAATACAACTTGAATCCTCAGAACAGTACTGATACTGACAATCCCCTTCAAGCCACCACCCCAATTGTACAACCTGATCCACCAACACCGCCGAGTTGTTAAGATTACCCAAAGAGACAACCGTGGCCAACAAAAATGACCGGCACTGGACTCCGGTCAAGTTATGGTAGTCAATGAACAAACCCTGGTTGTTTGGCTCGGAGTAGCAGCTAATAATGTTATCTTTTGAAACACAGTCAGGCAGTTCAAAATGAGTTTGCACCGTTGTTGTTGGTATCTCACAAGGAGTGAGTGGTGAGGTACAATTCTGTAGGAAGATTGCATTTTGTGATGTGGGTGCATAGTTTGGACTAAATAGGTGCTGGAGGGTTTCGACCGGACAGCCATATTCGGCTGGAATTTTGACCAGAATGCTATCGGAGGTTATTTGCAGGACCGGAAAGTCATGTATGACCATGGTGCCGTTTGTGGTGCAGTTAAGGAGGATTTGGCAGCCGGAGGAGAACCCGAA